TTGGCATCGGGCGCTGCTTTCGTCACCCTTTCCTCCTGTTCTTTGATGGACTTCTTGAGCTCGGCTTCCATTTTGTCGAACTGTTTGACTTCCATTTCAAACTGAGGCTTATTTTTCTTCATAACAGTTATGTCTTTCAAAAGTCTTTCCGATTCTGTTCTCACGTCATCTAATCTGTTGTTTATTTCACTCATTTTATTCCTCAAACGATTCACTTCTTCTTCGAGCGCTTGAATCTCTTTTTCGTCCACTTCTGTCACCGCAACCGAAGAGCCAATTCGTCCAGTAGATGGTCGCCCGCCTCCAGACATAGTTCCGGACGTCTCGTAGAGTTCGCCCTTAAGAGTGACCACTCGGTGCCTCTCATGAGTGCCTTTAGGAGAGGATATCCTGTGGGCCTGTTCTATGTCTTTGGCTAACAGTGTATTCCGTAAACCGTAATAAAAGGCAACTCTCACTCTCTCGTCATTAACTCGGATCAGATCGAAAAGACGGGGCACTCCTTCGGGAAATGCCTGTTCGTCGCTAATCCGCGTCGACTTCGATATCTTATCCAAAGGCATAAACCTTGCGGTCCCGATGTTATTCTTCTTGAGAAAATTGATGCAATCGGTGGCGTTGTCTACGGTTTCGGTAACGATGTTGTCGAGTGTCCCGCAGGCGGTCGAGACGGCGCAGTCGTACTTCGAGTCCACGGCTCCCAAGTCTCCCAAACGGCCTAAAATGCCCCTCAAGTGTCCCTTTTTCTTCTGATCCATCAAAGCATTTAAGACCCGATTCCGAGAGTGAGTGTCGCCCGCAGAGTGTCTCAGAGACTGCAACTGATTGTTACGATTAGTGAACTCTTCGGTGAATTTGCTTTTCTTTTGCTCCAGTTTTTCGATCTCTTCTCGCAATTCATTCATTTTGTGTTCAGCCGAAGGGATCTCCGTTTGAAACCTTTGCAAAGCGTTTCGCTTATCCTTGGCGTCAGTCGTGTTCTTATCGAACTGACAGTTCAACTGTTGAAGTCTTGTCTTTTGCTTTTGTTCTTCACTTAAATAGATATCGAGTTCTTGTTTCGCGATTTCCATCAGAGATCTCATTTCGTTCACTCCTTTCTGGAGTTCCATTAACTGCTTCTCAATCACGTCCTTCCGGTTCTTAAGCGGTTCGGTATCGCCTTTAATCTCACCCATCACTACAGCCAACCGCTCGTCCGCCAGTTTTAAGTCATTTTCCGCCTTTTCCTTCTTTTTGGTCAACACCTCGATCTCTGTCCGACACTTGTCTGGCATTAGTGTCAAGTCCTCTAACTTCTCGTTTTCATTCTCAATGTCTTTATCCAACTTCTTTCCCTTAGTTTTAATATTTTTCAGTTTATCTCTCAACTGAACGTCAAGTCTCTCGCATTCCTTGAATTTCTCGTTCAACTCTTCGGCCTTCTTATTGATTATAGAGAACTGTTGGCTCTTCTCCTTGTGTTCGGCTTCCGAGGCCTGTCTCTGTTCTTTCAAATCGTTTATTTCATTCATCGCCTTCTCATAGATATCATTGGCTCTGTTGTACTCATTGAGAGCCGTCTCCCTCTCTGTATTGGCGTCACTCCTATAGGTCTGATAGAGTTTGCTCTTCTCGATGGTAATGCCGTTCTCCGCCTCCAAGAACCTGATCGCCTCATTCTTGGCCTCTTCCAGAGTCTTGAGCTCCTTCTCGACCACTTTCACGCGATTCATTTTCTCGGCTCTAATCTCATTGAATTCCTCCACTTTGAGCGCCAACTGACTCAACGGCTCCTTCAGGCGAGTCGTGCCTATAATGTCCTCCAAGAACTCAAGCATTCCTGACTCGTTGTCGTTGTCTGCCTTGGGTTTCATGAGAGCGATCTGTTCCACCTCTCCCTGGAGTATAAGAAACCGATTGTAACGCAAATCGATTCCATGCGATGACAACAGTTTCGACACTTCTTTGAATTGAACTTTTCTGTCGTCAACACAATAGTGAGAACTGTTGTCCTTATTGGCGGTGCGACTGACAGTGAACTGAGAACCGCTCACAAACTCGAAGTCTTCGCCCGGCTGTCGACCAATCAATGCATTCGTTAGAGACGTGACACAAGACTCGGAGTGAAGACAACAACACTTACCTTATCGTTGATGAGCGCGAAGTGAACGATCACTTTGCAGAAGGTTAGGGCGGGGTATGAGTCGCTGCTATGGATCAAAACACTCAACTTCTT